TCTCTCTCTCTCCTCTCTCTCTCTATCTTAAAAAAAAAAAGAATTCTAGTGGCTCTCTCTCTCTCTTTCCACAGACCCTTAAGGTTGGAGAACTGTCACTTAAGTTATTGGAATAGTCAGATTTTGTGAATCCAGCATTAGGTTGCCAGCTAGGACAGATGGTGGTACCAGGCTTCAGAGGACCTAAGGTCCAGACGTGGTTTAGCAAATCCCAATAGCCCCTGGTGACAGGCCATACCCCATAGACTAAGGATCCAAGRCCACCCTTGAAGATCTAAACTCTAGGTTAGTCCATGAACCTAAGACCCAGACCCACCACCTCAGACTTAGGTTCCAAACCCAGTCCAATGCCAGATGGCTCATGTAGACTCAGGCTTCACGCAGGCTCCATTGAACTCAGGTTCCAACCTCATCCTGGGGTACTTAGGTTCCAGGGTCATTCTTGCAGACTCAATCAATCAGCTTGTCCACACTACTGGGTCCATTCTTTCACCGAACCCAATGAACCCTGGTGCCAGGCTCTCCCACCTGCTGACCAGTTGCAGACCAGCCTGCCCAAAGGCTTATTCAAATAAGCAGGYATCAGTGTAAGGCAACCACTGATGAAGAGACACATACCATCAAATACCACTGTTGAATCCCCCAAATGGAGCTATATGAACTAAGAATAAGAATTCTTTTAAAAGAGTTCAAACTCCCAGAAAAATAAATGAAAAATAATTCGATGAAATTGGGAAAACAAATAACTAAAATGAGAAATTTGATGAAGACGTTGAAATTATTTTCAAAAGTCAAATCCTGGAGCTGAAAAAACAATAAATGAAATGAGAAGCACAATACAGCAAATTAATCAAGCAGAAGAAAGAATCTGTGAACTTGAAAACAGTTTATTTGAAAAAAATATACAGGAGGAAAAAAATAATGAAAATTAATTATGAAATGTTGTGGGATTTATGGAACAACATCAAAAAAAACAAATACATAAGCATAAAATTTTAACAAGAAGAAAAGATAAAAGAGTAGGAAGTTTATTTAAATAGATTATAGCATAAAAWTTTCCAAATAGGAAATATAAAAATATCAAAGTATAGAAAGTTCAAAGGTCTCCAGAGTCTATTTAAACAAGATACACCAAGGAGTAATATAATCAAATCATCAAAACTCAAAGACAAAGAGGATCCTGAAAGCATCCAGAGAAAAGAAGCAAATAATATGTATAAGGGAATTTATATGCACATGGTAGGTTTATCAGCAGAAACCTTACAGGCCAGGAGAAAATTAGATATTATATTTGAATGCTAAAGGAAAAAAAAACTGCCAACTAAGAAAACTTTACCCTGCAAAACTGACCTTCAGAAAGAAAGGAGAGGGCTGGGGTTGTGACTTAGTGGTAGAGTGCTTGCCTAGCATGTGTGAGGCACTGATTCTCAGCACCATATATAAATAAATAAATGAAAAAAGGTCCATCAATAACTAAAAATATACTTTAAAAAAAAGAAATGAAAGAGAGCTGAAGACTTGCCCAGAAAAACAAAAGTTGAGAKAGTTCATCCCCACAGGAGCCAATTTGCAAGTAATGCTAAAGGAAGTTCTTTAAGCTGAAAGAAAAGATAATTAGTAACACAAAAACATAGGAAAGTTTTAAAATCATTAGTTAAAAAGATGTAAACAATGACATCAAGAATTTTTAAATGTGGGAAAGAAAGAGTAAAAATGTAGAGTGTTGGGGGTTTGTAGGTATTTTTAGCAACCAAAGCTAAGTTGCTTAAAAAAGCCTGGTATAACTATGTGATGTTTCTTGTCCACTGRTGGTAACCACGAAACAAAAATCTATCTTAGGTGCACAAAAGGTAAAAAGCAAGGAATCAGCTGAATGTGGGCATGCACACCTGCAATCCCAGCTACTCAAGAGACTAAGGCAAGAGGATGGCAAGTTTGTGGCCAGTGCAGACTCTTAGCAAGACCGGTCTCAAAACAAGATAAAGAAGGGCTGGTGTTGTAGCTCAATGTTAGAGCTCTTGCCTAACATGTGCAAGATCCTAGATTCAATCTCTGGTACTAAAAAAAAAAAAAAAAAAAAAGATTTTTTTTTTTTTAACGGAGGAATCAATACACATCACAAGGAAAAAATCACTTGATTGCAAAGGAATGCATCAACAGACAAAGAAAAAAACCAAGGATCTGCAAGACAACCAGAAGACAATTTTTTTAAATTGCAGTATAAGTCCTTACATTCATGCACTGACAAATGCTCCCTGTTCTCTGGACCTCCACTGTAGAAGGGTCAAGTGTTGGACCCTCTCTGCTGGGGCACAATTGAAAGCAACAACTAAAACCAGAACTTAATCTTGGCATTCAATAAACCACATATATTTAAAATGTCAAAAAGAAAATCTTAAATTAACCATAGTGTTTGGTGAAAGATATTTTTTAACAAAAGGATTGATACATTTTGATGTGTTTCCCAACATTAGGGATGGGGCAAAAGATCAGGGAAATTTATCACTGAGCTATGTATATACATAGCTCAGTGGTTACAGCTTAAAGATTAATGGTTAATTTTCCTGATCATGTCAAAACGTCAACATATTCTGCATAGGTGCATTTGTGGAAATATTTTTCTCCTTTCCCAGTATTCTTCAGAAGTCCTATTATAGTTAACAAATAAATGTTGAAGAAATGTAAAAAAAAAATGCAAATATAGATAAGATTAAATTATCCAATCAAACGATATAGAAGACTAAGTGCATTTTTAGTGAAATCAAACCATATGATTCCTACAGGAGATTCAAACCTTAAGAACATACATAGGCTACAAGTAAAGAGGTGCAAAA